GGCGGCCGGAGCGCGGCCGGAGGCGGGCAGCAGGGCGGCGGATCTGGGGAGGGAGCTGAAAACTCCCTCCCGCGCGAAACTACCTCACGCGCGAAGAGGAAACCGGGTCGACGAGGGGTTGGGCTGCCAACCCCTGTTTCTACAGGCCGGGAAGGAGTATAGGGGTTGAGCCTCTAAAAAAATTTAAGGGTTTAAGGGTTAAGGGGTTCTATTCTTTGCGATTTTTTTGTCTCAACCCGTAAAAAAGCGGTTATTTTTGAGGGTTTGAGAGTTTAGGGGTACTACTAGTAATGCTCTAAGAGTTACGTAACCTGCCTAACAAATCTATCGCCCCCCCTGATTTTCACCCGTGTGGGCCCCTGCCACATCCATCCATCCAATCGCAGTCGTACACATTGCCTATTACGTAAAATCTGTACGTAACTTTACCTAGGTGAGTCAGTCTTCCGCTCCCTCGTACGGATCACGGCACGGCTGAAAAGAAATGGAGCTTGGACATGATCGATCGATCACCTATGTATTTCAATTTGATGCAGATGCGGCCGCCGGAGCGCGTGGCCCCGCGCAGCGAGACGGTGATCCCAGCTTTCGACTCGCCGTTCAACCCGCCGGGGCAGCGCTCGGGGTACCCCGTGTCTATCAGCCTGCCATCGTCGCCGACCGGCTTCGGCGAGCCCCTCGTGGCGCCCGGCGGCGACTTGCACGAGCGGAAGCAGGCCATGTCGAACGCGGCGCAGGAGCCGGCGCAGCACGTGAGGTTCGTGCAGCCGCACAGGGTGATGTTCCGGTCGCAGCCGAACCCCGGCGGGGTGCCCACCCACGCCGTGAGACGGATGGGTAGCCGGGGCGGCAGGACCATGAACCGGGACAAGCGCTTCGACTCGTTCAAGACGTTTTCCGGGAAGCTGGAGCGGCAGATCACCCATCTGGCCGGCGGCGGCGTGCCGGTTAGTACCCCCGAGGAGGAGGAGTTCGCCCAGGGACAGGGAGAAGCCGTGAGTGGCGACAACGTTGATCGCTTCTTCGCCGCACTGGAGGGACCCGAGCTGGACAAACTCAAGGTACTAACGAGTTCAAGAGAGTTCAGGGATGAGAGCCCTCCCATTCCAGTCTCGAAATTCTGAAACTTGTGTGATTGCTTCAGTCGTCGGAGGAGCTGGCGCTGCCGGCGGACAAGAAGTGGCCGTTCCTGCTCCGGTTCCCCATCTCGGCGTTCGGTATGTGCCTCGGGGTCAGCAGCCAGGCGATCCTGTACAAGACGATCGCGACGGCGGCGCCGACCGAGTTCCTGCACGTGAACCCCAAGGTGAACCTGGTGCTTTGGTTCATCTCCGTGGGGCTAATGTCCATCATCACGGCCGCGTACGCATTCAAGATCATCTTCTTCTTCGAGGCCGTCCGTCGCGAGTACTACCACCCCATCCGTGTCAACTTCTTCTTCGCGCCGTGGATCGCCTGTCTGTTCCTGGCCATGGGCGTGCCCCCCTCCGTCGCCACCCAGCTGCCTCCCTGGCTTTGGTACGCGCTCATGTTCCCGGTGCTGTGCCTCGAGCTCAAGATCTACGGGCAGTGGATGTCCGGCGGGCAGAGGCGGCTGTCCAAGGTGGCCAACCCGTCCAACCACCTGTCCGTCGTGGGCAACTTCGTGGGCGCGCTGATGGGCGCGTCCATGGGGCTCAAGGAAGGTCCCATCTTCTTCTTCGGCGTCGGGATGGCGCACTACGCCGTGCTGTTCGTGACGCTGTATCAGAGGCTGCCCACCAACGCGACGCTGCCCAAGGACCTGCACCCGGTCTTCTTCCTCTTCGTGGCGGCGCCGAGCGTGGCGTCCATGGCGTGGGCCAAGATCGTGGACGAGTTCGGCGTGGGGGCCAAGCTCGCCTACTTCATCGCCATGTTCCTCTACTCGTCGCTCGCCGTCCGGATCAACTTCTTCAGAGGGTTCAGGTTCTCGCTGTCGTGGTGGGCCTACACGTTCCCGATGACCGGCGCGGCCATCGCGTCCATCCGGTACGCCACCGTGGTGGACAATGCCTTCACCAAGGCGCTGTGTGTGGGGCTGTCGCTGCTGGCCACGCTCACCGTGACGGGCCTCTTCGCCACCACCATGGTGCACGCCTTGGTGTTCCACGACCTTTTCCCCAACGACAACGCCATCGCCATCACGGACCGCAAGATGAAGCCTATCATGGAGCTGCAAGAGAGTGGCAAGGACGACGACAGCCGCTCCGGCAGCAGCAGCAGCAAGGACGTAGAGGCCGGCGCCGCTGCCGCAGTAGCACCAGAAGCTTGATGATATACTACTGTATTTGCGTGGAAATCAAATGATGGCGCCAACGATCGGGCACTTGGCGGGATAGGATACGATCGTACTGTACAAAAGTTTGCTTGCACGCTAGTAAAACGGAGAGGAGCTGTCGACGATAGCCACCGGCATAGAATAAGCAAAGAAGGTCCATTTGGAATCTCACTGGAAACCTCCGTTTCCCAAAAGAATCATACGACCTCTGCTCTGCTTGGCCGAAATGAGTAAATAGCGTCCATGCATCTCACGTCCACTTTTGATTTCTACCTCGGACGATATACAATATGTTTTCACAATTTTGAATTTTGATACGTATATGCGCTCCAAAACACGACAAGACCCAACAAAATTGGTCTGATGCGCGTAAAAAAGCAACGAAAACGTGGAGGTGCACATCGGGATAGGGTAAAAGTTAAGGTGACACACAGGCAAATGGATCATTATAATTCAATCTAAAATAGGAGTACGAGAAAACCCAACAAAATTTATTGGAATGCTATAAACGTTATGGTGCACGTCATAATAATGTACAAACACACAAAGTGAAACATTTACATCGACTCTAAAACACGATGATACCTAAAGAAAATACATAAAATTTATTCTTGTTTTATAACACATGTTTGAAGCGAACGAAAACACAATAAAAACTTGTGGCGTGCAGCGGAACCGGCTAAAATATTATAAAATGCAATGAAATGTTACCCTAAAACACAATGAAACCCAACAAAATTTGTTGAAGCACATTGAAACACAACCAAACATTGTTGTGCACTTTTAAAACATAATCTTACTTGTTTCTTTAAACATATTTACACAATAAATTATCTCGGTCTCGGTTCCAATGAAGTTCACTTTGGTTTCACCATATTTTAAAGTGAAAAGTACTTATCAAAACATGCATTCAATACTGATCTTATTTCATAGATCTCGGATTATAAATTTGTCTTCCGGTGCAAAAGATATTTACCATTTAAGCTTTTGCAAGAGGATGAAACATAATACTTGGGTCTACAAGGAGGGAGAATCTAGGTAGTATGAATGGAGTAGGGGGGAGCACAAATAAAAGGTTTTAGTTGGGCCCTAAAGCTCAAGGATTTGTAGTAAGCAGAAAGCCTTTGCCCTAGTTAATGAATCTATGTATTCAATCCATGAAATGTCAACAACAGGTTCAATCATCAACCCTACACTCAACTAAGAAACTTAACTTGTGTCTGCAACTTCTCTAGTGAGGTTGTCAATCACAGTAACTTTGATAGTTACCCAAGGATTAGCATATCGAGTGTTTCAAATTGTTTTTGCATGCGTAGAATAATAAATTATATAATAACAAAGTGCAAGAAAACATAGAACAAATCTTTGTATTTGTGAGGAAAACTATAGTGAGATTTGTAGGTTCGCCGATGGCATTTCTCTAGATAGCATAGGCATGGCAAACAAATTATAGTTGTCTATCGATTAAATTGTTTCGTTTATGGTAATTCAAAGAAGGCGTCATATCTAATGAATCTGGCTATCTGTTTGTATCCCTGCATCCGATCAATGCTGACCATCCAACATAAATCGTGCGTTGGTTGTAACACAACCCTTAATTTTGCAGAAACATGCCCGCCTCCATCCCGTTCTGGTCGGGTAATGTTTCCAAAAACCCCTCTGCCGTGTGCAGTTTTCCCAATTCACTAGTATAGAATCCTTTTCTCAATCATGACTCCAACCTACATCAGCGGTGGCGAGGACGCAATGCATCTTCTTGGACGATCGTCGGAACGGAGCTCATGTTTTCGGATGGGCGTCGCGACCGCGACGATGGAGTGCAACTCCCAGCCCCCGATCAATATGGCAGACATATTCTGCTCGTCTGATACGCTTGTCACAACCCTAGAAATTGCTTGGTAATTAGTTCTTTAGTGAGCATCATCATGTCAACATTTTAAATTTCTGAAAATTGAATTGAGGAATTTCCAGAAGCCTCAGAAAATATTTTGAAATGATCAACCAAATATTTCTTCAAATGTTCCCAAGGAAATGTTCATTTTTAACTTTGACAAATATTGGCAAGAATTAAATTCAAACCAATATTTTTGGAGGTTCAAAAGTATTTATTCTTGGGACTTGAATTAATTCGTAGCTATTTGAATTGGATTTATACTTACTATTAAATATTTACAAGTCCAATAATTCTGCAATTTTCTATGTGGCTCTGAGTTTATCTATTTAGACCACATATTTGATTTCAAGAGTTTTAAAAATGATTTGGTCTTTGAATCAAATCAAAACACAAAGAAACAAAAAGAAAACAAAAGAAAATAGAAAACAAAACTCACCCTGGGCTGCTTACCTGTAGCAGCAGCCCACCTGGAGGCCCAGCCCACCAGGGGCAGCCTCTTCTTCTACCTCTTACTACTAGGCAGAGGAGAAGCTGGGCATGGCACGCGCCCGCGGCCTCCACGCCACCTACCTGTCTGGCCCTCCCCTAGCCAGCGTGATGCCGCCAATGACACGCCGCTGCCGTCTGGACCCCCTGACCTCCTCACTCTCCTTCATCTCCTTCTCGCCTCGGTCGAGCACGTCCATCGCCTCCGTTCACTGCCTGTGCAGCCACCGTGCTCCCCGTACTGCCCTCCCGAGCTGTCCAAGAGCTCCGCCATCTACCCCTATGCTGTCTCCACTGAGCCACGCAACCGGACGAGCCCCGCAATGCCGTCCCCGACGCATTCTTCCTCCTCGGCCGCCGGAGATCCGCCTCGCCGCTCCGCTCGCTCGATGCGTCCCCGAGCCCGCTTACATTCGCCGGAGCACCGCCATGAGCTCCCTTCTGTCCTCCCTTCTCTCCTATGGTCTTTCCTATGCTCTAGCTACGATTCCACCGGAGCCGTGACCTCGCCGCTGCCATGCCTTATCGCCTCGCTACTAGAGCCCACATAGGTCAAAACCGAGAACGACATCGTACTCCTAGCATTGGTAGTAGCCCGCCGGGCCCCTCTGCTAGCTTCTTCGTGCACCGTAGCAACCAAACCATCAAGGCCAAACTCTGGCCGCCGCCTGTTGTCGTTGTAGTTGATGTTTCCGGGCACCCCAGCACCTAATACTGCCACCGCTCGATGTGCGCTGCTGCATGCGTTCGAATGTAATCAACAGCGCATCAAAACAATGCCGGTAGCTCGTTTCCGATGAGACCCGAGCCGCACCATCATCTTTTTGGTCACCGCCGGCCAGATTCTCGCGACTGTCGACGTGGCTCCATCATTCGTGCTAATCCCCGCTAATTAGGCCCCTACAGACGCGGACAGTGGGCCCCACATCAGGTCAAAGCCTAGTCAGCGCTGGATTAAACCCGGTCAACCACTAAGTCACTGACCAATGGGTCCCACTAGTCAAGTTTGACTCTAGCTGGCGCTATTGACTTGCTGATGTCACACTGATGTCACGCTGATCCAGTAAATCATTTACTGGATTAGTACAATTTAGAATAACCAGAAAAATCTAGAAAATTATATAAACTTCTAAAAATCATACAAAATAATCTATAACTCAGATGGAAAATAATTTATATATGAAAAATGATCAGAAAAATATGAAGAATCTGTTTATGCCATGTCTGTGCATGTTTGAGCAAGTTAACATCACCAACTAAGTTAATGGTAAGTAGATTTGGAGTTGGAATTTGCTATAGGTTTGAATTCGACTTCAACTAATTTGTCTAACTATTGCATTAGGTGAATTCAGTACCTTAATATGACATACTGTGCATATGGATGTGCATCATTGCCATGAATTGGATGTTGTTCCTTTGTTTGTCGGTGTTGTTCCTTCTCGGTAGAAGACGGTTTTTGACGACGTGATCGTTGACACCAATGAAGAGCTACACTATCTTCAGAAGTGTCAGGCAAGCAAACCCGCTTTGAGCATTCCGATACAATCCCACTCTCTCGCTCTTGCTCTCTTTTACTTCATTAGGACAACAACGATTCAACTATTACATTGTACATCTCAAGAGATCTTGGAGATAGCTCAACATGGATTCTCGAGCGGATGACAGGAAGGGAAAGGATAAAATGCTTGGCAGATCAGTTTTTGGCTAGGTTGAATCTTCCTTGATGTGAGTTTGAAAAAGGTCGAGAACACAGGTTGCATTATTGGGAAGTGTCTGAAGAACAACTACACATGCTGATGGATCCCAATTTGGTCGGAGATGAATGTGTTGATGTAGATCCCAAGAAGTTGGCCTGTGACCAAAAAGTGATGTTTCATATCCTATGCAGTTCTCTCACGCCAACGAACAGACCAAGTTCTATCAATGGCAATGTAGGAAATGCTCCTTTGGCCATCTCTCAAGGAATTCTGTTTGATAGTCCAGATCTTTTCATTCGCAACTTGGTCTGTGCTGCTGACAACCTGCAATCACTGAAGCCATATGCCCTGTGGATTATGTATGCAATTGAGTAGCTCACCAATGTGAAGTTCTTCTGGGCTTATATTCCGAGAGTTTTTGTAGCTACCAGACCTCAAATAGTCTAGTCTATGTGCATCAGTGTCATCCCTGGATCGGTAATGCTGACACGCACAATACATGAGGATTTATAACAGAGTTTCAATCACACACTTATTACATCGAATGTCTCAAAAGAGAACTTATTACAATAATATGGCTTAAGGCCATCTAAATAAGATAACAGCAGAAGGCTTGGAAGATAAAGTGAGTCCATCAACTCCAACGGCATAGGTGGGTGAACGACAACGACCTATGCCACCTTACTCGTCGTCTGAAAAGTCTGCAACATGATATGTTGTAGCCCGAAATGGGTCAGCACATGGAATATGCTGGCAATGTAACACATAAAGCAAAGAACATGTAAATGCTAACACTACATGCATATATGGCTGGTGGAAAGTTCTATGGTTACAATTTTGCATAAAGCCAATTTTTCCCTACAACAAAGGAATAAATTTTATCTAACTATCATGGTGGTTGTTAAACATTGAGAAGG